TGGTGCAAATGCAAGCTCTCCAACGCCCCCCCCCCCCTTCCCCGCTGTACGTTTCTAATACAAAGACCTCTCTCCCTGCCTGGCTCCCGCCGCCATGTCGCCGATTTCTGCTTTCCCATCGGCTCGGCTATTTCTGGCAAAACGGGCGGTGGCGGACAGACGGACAGATGGACCTGGGCTGCGAAAAGCCCCCCATGTGAGGAGTAAGAATAGACGAGTCAGAGGGCCGGCAGGCGCCCCGTTCAGTAGAGCAAAGAAAGTCCCTCCCGCATCGTGCGCCCACCGGGAGGGAGTCGGGGTCTGAGGACTAAACGGGGAAGGGACTCGGGATCAGAAGGAAGGGATACCTGCGGTGATAGCTCCAAGAAGCCACCCTGACCTTCCAGGGTGCCGCGGCGCCAGAGGTGGGCTTGAGCGGGCGGCCGTGCGCCCATTGTGGCTCTATCGGTCCGGTGCGAGCGTCCCCACCCCAGACTGGTCTAGTGACCACGAGCAGCTTCTGGATCCGGCGATGTCGGGTGAATGGCGGATGGCGGCGGCGCTGAGTAGGGCAGGCTCTCTCTTTGGGGATCCTGGAAGCTCTCGTTCCCTGTGCAGTGAGTCCGCAGGCCCGGACGGGCGAGTGAGGCGCGCAGCGACCGGGAAGGCAGGCTGGCCGGGAGCGGCGGCTTGAGAACAGCAGCAGCAGAGGACCCGCGCTGAGATTTATGGCCAGAGCCGGCCCCCTGCGCACCCAGCACCGCTCCGGCCTCGCCGAGTCAAACCGTGGGGTGGGGAAGCCGGCCGCCGCTGGAGGAGGAGGCCCGGAGCGGGGCCGGAGGCGGCGCGGGAGGAGCCTGGGATCTGCCGGCGCCAGCCTGGCGCTGCTACCCACACCCTGGCCACGGCGCGCCCCGTTCCCCCGCGTGCGGCGCTACGGGCGCTGGCGCTGAGCTCCTGGAATTGCCTGGCGGGCGTGGCTGCTCTCGGCCTGGCTGGCAAGGCTCGGCTCTCCGCGGCTGGGCAGTGGGAACCGGAGGAGCGCGAGCTCCGGGTTTTAGAGGCACCCGGGTCGCTAGGCCCAGCCCGGTGCTTAGCTCTGGCCAGGGCCTCCCGCCCGGCAGAGCCTGCGATCTCAGTCCTCCGATCCTCCGACCGGGTCGTCTTCGGAGAGCTGCCTGCAGAGAACGGGGATTTCAGCCCCCATGGGGGTAGGGATGGTGGTGTGTTTGTGTGTGTGCTTGCCCTTGAGAGGATGCCGCCGACTTGTTTTGGGGTGAGTGAGGATTTAGGGGCCAGTGTGTGTGTGTGCACCACGCGTGTCCCAGGACACACTGGGCGCAGCCGCATCTTCGGCAGGATGGCGAGGACGTAGGAGTCCGATCTCTCCCCCCTCTTCCCGGTTCGCCCTGCCAGCCCTGTGGGGACAAAGGCTGCAGGGACTCAACATTGGCTATAAAACGGAGGCCAGATTTTCTCAGCCCGACCAGTCCAGGGACCCGAAGCGTGGGGGCGGGGGGTTAGCCGGTGGCCTAGGGTGGGACACACATAAGCCTGGGCCCCCGTGGCCCGGGACCAGGGCGCCTGCTCCGGGATCTGTGATTTGGGACTGCCAGGAGGTCCCCGCCCCCACTCTGCGCCTCCAGCCGACTTTCCGCCCAGTCAGTACAAAACACACGCACACACACACACTGCGTCAACACACTCCTTTTTGGCCACCGATCCCGCTGGGTAAACAGAAGTATGAGTGGGTAACTAACGAGGGAGGGGAGGCAGAAGATGGCGGATGTACTTAGGCGAGCTGTGTGCTGCCACCGCTTCGGGGATCCGCACCTGGGTCTCGGCTTTTGCCTTTCATAGTGGCACGAAGGAGTAGGGAGAGTGGTCGCTCAGAACCCAAAGCTCCCCATTCATGGCGTGGATCCCCCACCGCTCTGCTGGGGAGCCGTCCCCCGCCCCAAGATGGCTCCCAGCCGCTGTTTACCCAGCAGCTGCGGGAGAGGCCGGGCGCGGGCCTGCCGAGGGAGCGGTGGCTTTATGGTGGGGCAAAGACCAGGGCGCAAAGGGGCCGCCCGCGGTGGGGCACGCCCGCGCCCCTACACCGCCACGGCAGGGGCGGGCAGGCCACGGCCGGGTGTGTCTTGCCAGCGCCACCAGAGCCCCTGGCTCCCAAAGCTGGGTGGTGGGAGCGAAAGGGTGTGCCGGGAGGGTAGCTCCAGGGGGCTGGGGCCACAAAAGCGCCGACGTGGGGGTGGGAGGCCCTGGAGGGGGGCGGGGGGAACTCCAGTTCCCTAACCTGGGCTGTAATGAAATGCAGGCTTGACTCGCCTTGAAAAATGCAAACGCCGTTGGCAAATCCAGGGCCAACAGGCAGAATTTTTATTAGCAACTAAATGATTTATGGCACACATACCCCGCCGTCACAATTACGGCGGCGCGGAGCATGCAGGGGTGAAAACATTAAACATTTATAAAAATAGGCTTTTGTTTTTTTCCACCGCACAAGCCAGTTTGTATTCCCCACCCGCACGCCCGAGATTCCCCACATGTATATATATTTCTCCAGCTCTACTGAAATGAAAAACATGCCAGATTTCAGAAGAGGAGGATGATGATGGAGGTGGGAGGGATAAATGGGTAAAGGGTGGGCTCCGTTTAGTGGAGGGAAATGGAAAGGCGGGGAGGTATTGGCCACTCGGGTTTGGGAATGTTTCCCGTGGAGATTCCAGGATGCTAGGAGTCGCAGTCGCCCCCCTACCCCACCCCCCGCTTCGCTTTCCGCAGACCCCCGGACATCTATTTATTTATTTATTTATTTGTTTTCCCAACAGCCATCCCCACTCCCCCAAGGCACACACACACGATACCTCCTTTCTCTAACCCCCCTCTCCTCTCCGGCTTTGCTCCAGGCTCTGTCGGGGCGGCTCCTGGAGCCTCCCGCCGCCCCGGGCTGGCTGCATCTAGACCGACACCCTTGCGCCCTGCTTCAAGCGTGGACACGGCACGGCGGTGGCTCGCACGCTCCCCTCCGCTCGGGCTGGGCTATTTTTGTTCCTTTCTTTCCTCTCACTCCCCCCCCCCCCCCCCCACCCCCATCACCAGACTTCAGCTTCCAAAAGAGGGCAGCCTGGAAACCAGCGAAGGAGGCTCCTGGAAGGGCAACTTGAAACTGCCCTCAAGAGGCTGAACTTTTTTTTCCCCCCTCCCTAAAATGTATCCTGGAATTAAGACACCCCCATTACACTCCCCAAGCCTGTCCCCCCTCCATGTTTTTTCCCCTAAAAGCGGAGAAAAGAAAATGGAAATGGGTTCTAACTAGCTCTCATTCCCGCCCCCCCTCCAGGAAAGTTCCCTTAAAAATGGATTTTAAAAAAACCGTGCAATGCGAAAACGCTGAGTCCGCAGCGCGGGGCGAAAGAGCGGGCTTCTCTTGTTTTAATTAAAAAGCACTCGCCGCAGCTCCTCTGCGAGGCAGGATCGGCCAGGCTTCCTGCCCCTCCAAGCGACCTCTCTTAGGTATGTAACGTCCAGGCGGACAGGCCCTACAGGCCTGCGGACAGAGGGTGCGGGGCCCCGGGCTGCCCCTCTAAAGGGCGCGCTCTCCGCGGCCCCAGCCAGGTGGAGGTACCGCGGGCAGCTCCCGGCGGGCGACTGTACGCCTAAGGAATTTTGCTGAAAGCGCAAAACGTACAGTACAAAGTCGGGATGGGGGTGGGGGAGGATGGGCTCCCCTCCCCCGACCCAGCCAGCCAAGCACTTTTTGGGTTTGGTGCGGCTTCCTCTAAGCTCAACACTTCTTTTCTCTTCCCGGTCTCGCCCTCCCTGGAGGGGGCGCGGCGGATGGAAGGCGAGAGAGGCCCCCAGCCAAGAGGTTTTCAATATTACACTTTAATAGGTTTCAGAGGCTGAAGTGTCACAATCGAGAGGGATTTAGTTCGCGCTCAACCGAGCTAATCCTTTTTTCTTTTTTTGGCTGATTTTTTTGGGGGGGAGGGGAGCCCATGCAGAGAGGGGCTTTGGAGAGGGGTGCGAGCAAGGTCCAAAACGCAGCAACCTTGGCCGGAGCCAAGCGAAGGAGGGGGGCGCGCCCCGTTCCCCGTTTCTATAGGAACCCCTTTGAGACGATTCGAGACTCACCCGCTGCCCGCCGCCGCGGCCTCTCCAAAATATTAATCAGTGACCATCTGACACCGCGGTTCACCGAGGGCCCACAGGCCGGGGCTAGGAAAACGGCCTTCTCGCCTGCCCAGCCCACCCGACCACACCGCTGGGGGGAGGGAATGAATCGTGGCTTTGTTTTAAAAGGAAAAGAAAAAAAAAGGAGGAGGGAAAATGCAAGAAGCCTGGTTTGTTTTGGCGTCTCTACCGCCAGTTCAGGGAAGGCGCGCCATGGGGGAAGTGGGGGGCCGGGGCGCGGGGTGCGGCCTGTCGGGCCCCAAGCCCTTCCCGGCTCGCTCGACTTGTCACCTCCTCTTGCGAGCAGGAAGCTGACAGGCGGCCCATTAAACTGCGCCTTGCAAAGCCCTAGATTGCAGCGACAACCATCTTCCTCTATTTTGATCACTCAGCCCAGACGCTGGGGCAGGGAGGGAGGGGTGGGGGAGGATAGAGGGGGGAGCTACCCACCTCCCTGGAGCTGGTGGAGGGGGGAGGGCTGCCTAGAAACAGCCCGGAAAAATTCTCACCACCAGTTTGGATCATTCAGGCCCGCCTCGGGGAGCCTGGAAACCGCCGGAGCCCCCCCAGTCCGTAATTGGTTTTATAGGGATGGCTGAGGGCCAAGGTGTTTACATGCGCGAGATTGGCGGCGC